GAGGAATGTGGGATTTCTTTTGACCTGCTTTGATGAAAACGTATCACAAGGAAGTAAAAGAAACATATTACTTGACATTGAAAACAGCTATTTTGCTATTTTGGAAAAGTGTTGTTCACAGTATTGAACATGTAAATAAGATAATGATTCAAGTTGGAATTTTAAGTTTAGTTTTATCTCATTCAGTTTTCACAGACTGGGGTTGCTGGTTGAGAAGTGCCCTTGCTTAGTATCATTGCAAACTTGTTAATCCTGAAAGCCCAACTGCTGGGAAGCTGAGATGAGGTCATGTTTTGTTTGCTTTGATCAAGGAGCAGAATATTGGTTTTTGGCGCTGCATCAAGAAGCCTTAAATTTAAACATCCTTTTGTTTGCTTTTCTCAGTGAAATAACACAGGAACAATGTGAAGGTGACTGAACTAAATATATGTATCTTGATGCTGTTCACTCTGGGGATCCCGGATAGTGCTATAGAAAGGGGAAGGGCGGGCTGTAATACCATGATGGGCAGGAATTTACGATTATTTGATTGTTATCCCTGTTTTTGCAGAGTAAGATAAGCATAAATAGTACAACTATAACAAGAAAATTGAAATAATCAAGACAATGTAGATGGAAGGGGAAATATTTATCTAACTTAATCTTCCTTCACCTATCAGGGTCTTCCTGTCCAACAAAATAGAAATTGTGGCAGGCAATGAACTGTTGGATAATGAGAGTTCATTCTTCCATACACAAGTAGGAATATTCACAGTCCAGTCTACATTCTAATGTTGAATTAGCTGTGTGGAGTTTTATTTAAAGGATAATTAAGGGCAATAGTAGATGAACTATTAAAAACTCCTTTTAAATAAAGTGAGTTGTGTTTAAAGAAATACCATGTAGATACTGCCTTGGGAAAGTGCCTCTGTTGATGTTGAAACAAATGCAGTTTCATGGATTATTTCATTTCATTTTCACAACCCTTTCGGGTGGTGGTATCATCATCATCATCACTATATATAAGAAAGCCTAGCCTTGCTTGTTCTTGTGGCTAGCAAAAGCTACATAGCTGAAGAATTTAGAATGATTTAAATTGGACTAAAATTAGTTCAGGGCCAATATGGTGTCATGGTAATTGGGAATACCAGTATCTGCAATGATTTCTTCTGACTCAATTAGGTACAGGCCTCTTTAGTCACTTACCTATCTGAGTATGTCACTGTCTTCTAAGCTCTGTTGGTGAACAGTCAGGTAATTCCTTGCTCTTGAGTTGTTAGGAATAGTGTTCTAATGAATAGCCTTGTACATCTTTAAATGCACACTTGTAAATATTTCCATGGATCTTTGATATAGTATTAGCTCAATGTTGGTTTAGGTTTTCAGATCACTTGTCATTTGTGTGTGTGTGCCTGTGTGTGTGTGTGTGTGTGTGTGTGTGTGTGTGTGTGAGAGAGAGAGAGAGAGAGAGAGAGAGAGAGAGAGAGAGAGAGAGAGAGAGACTATAGAATGTAGGTTGGAGATCATTGTACGTAAACATTCTGCCACTGAGCTGTACCCTGTGCCCAGTCTGTCTATTTGTGTTTATTTTTTAATAGGGACTTACACTGTGGTATAATAGAACTCTCTGTGCAGCCCAGATTGCCTCAAAACTGTTGGCCAGTCCTCCTGCCTCAGCCTTCCAAGTGCTGGATGTCAGGAGTAGACTATCATGCTCAACTTGAGGTGTCTATTCCTCCTCCCATATACTTACCAAAAGAATATTGCTGCATTTTGCCATTATTCTTGTGGTAGAATACATGAAACCTCCTGGCTATAACTTATATTTGCTTTATTTTTGATGAAGGCTATTGTCATTGACTTTTCAATTAATTACAGTTCTTTGAGTTGAGAAAGTCTTTTATAGAGTTTATCACAATATTTTACTTTAATCCTTGATTTTTCTAATACCTTTGTTATGTCACCTCATTATGAGGGAGGTTATATTTTTCCATTTGTTTTAGAACAGTTCTACCATGTAATCCTAGCTTGTCCTCCTACGGAGATGCTCCTGCCTTGTAGGAACTGTAAACTTCTCTGTAGCCTGATAGTTGGACATCATCCTGTTTTGCTCAGCATTATTACAGTCTATGCAGTCGAGGCCAGCCTGGTCTACAGAGCAAGTGTCAGGATACACTCCAAAGCTACACAGAGAAACCCTACCTCAACCCCTCCCCCCAAATGTGGTCATTCTTCTGTATCTGCATATTTGACATCTATTCATCGACTGCATCCTGAAAATATTCGCAAAAATGCATTGAAACTGTGGATTTTCCTGGTCATTATTACTGAGTATTGCAGCATACCAACTATGGGTGATAATTAATCTAAAGATGGTTTAAAGAATGTGCAAAGATATGTGTAGACTATATACAATTACTAAGCAATTTTATATGATGACCTTGTTTGTATATTTACAGATTTCATACCCAGGGGTGTGGGAAGTGCTTGAACTAAACACCCACTAATGCCTGGGATATTTAACTTTTCTTAGTCAATCTGAATTCTATTTTTGCTAATGATATGAACTTTTGATATTTAGGCGGAAATCCAACTCCTTCCATATTATTAAGCACACCTCTGTAACTAGTTTGTATAGAAAAAGCAGTGACTCAGAATATAACATTGCTAATATAGCTGGAACCAAATTGAATTTCTGTAATTAATGAAGTTTTGATAAGTTTTATCGTAGTTATGTTTTTTCAGATCATGGTTATTAGTTTCCCCCAAAATGGGTGAGATTTTGACCGTAATTGCCCTAAATTTACCAATGACTGTAACTGACATTGCAGCAAATTGGGGGCAGTGGTAGTCTTTATAGTATAAAGATTTAGTTTAGGGAAATGATATGGGATTATATGTAGGACTTTCTATGTTTTCTAGAGAAGGAAATCCTTCAACATTGTAAGTAGTAATCATGGGACATTTTATAGGTTTTCATTTTTGTTATGTTTTCAAAAGCTGTTAATGTTTTATATTATAAACTTTAAATATTAACATTGCACTACTGAGCTCATAGTTTTAGTTATTGTTTGTTGATTTTCACGCCTTTTCCAAGTCAACAATAGTTGATCTGTAATAATCAATTCTGACTTTTATTTTTCAATTATTTATCTTTTTTGTCTGCATGCCCTGTAGTTTCTCAGACCATGAGTGAACTAATAATGAAAAGTAACTTACAGCATTTAGCACAATAGCTAGCATTGAGTTGCTGTGCTAAAATTTGGTTGACTAAGCAAATGTTAATAAATGAGTATCAAAAACTGGAATGAAAGATAAAAAGGGCTAAGAGAAGTCATGAGTTTTATAATTTGATAAGGGCATAGGAAGCATATTTTCCGTAAAAATGAATAAGGCACCAAACTCTGTAGTATAGAGACATACATTTTAATGTCATAATGTTTACCGTGGTGGAGAGAGGAAGGGGGACTCCTGGAAGCATGACATCCTAACATGGAGAGCAATGGGAAGACTGGTCAAAGCAAGTCCACTCAGGTGCAGAGCTTCCAAGTGCATGATTGTGGGAAGTGAAGCCTATGAGGGGCCTTACTGTGTCTGACCTGTGTGAATGCTATGTCTGTACTCTTGGTTTACTCCAAATAAAAGAATCACAGATATTCCAGTACTGCATTTCAAATTTTACCTAGAGTAACAGGGACAATTGGGGAGACAATACATACATTTCCTTCATTTTTGCCTTCATTCACTCTTCTTTCTGTTTCTATTACAGCTTTTAATATATTTTAAAAAGCTTTTTACTTCCAGGTTTTAAGAGTTTGAGGGGAGATTTGCAAAGCCTTTTCAGATGTAATTTAGATGCTTAATAAATTTTAAATTGAATTGATAATGACAGCTTTTATTCTAGATATTGATTGCACTTAGTAATAGATACGTTTCTCTTTAGTGCACTGAGTGAATTGGTAACTATGTTATTTCCTTTGCAAATAGGCACATTTATTATGGCACTGTCTAAGGGCCATACATAGTCTTTTGAGTGACTTAAGTTAGAATAATACTGTCAATATCTTAGTTTTACAGCATTTGAGCAATATGTTGATAGCTATTCCCTAGAAAGAGCCACTGAAAACTTAATTTAAATCTACATACAAGTAAAATGACAGAAGAGAGGTGAGAGCAGTTTAGAATGGAAATCAATTTCAGTACTACTGTGATTAAAATGTAATTATAGTATCAATACACTGCACCCATGGGGCTAGTATAGACCATACCATAGGACAGGTTCAGTTTGGGAGGTTTGGGAAGGTAGCTTTGTTGTGCCTTATTCTACTTACCAGGAAATAGATCATTGCACTTGTTATTATATTCTGAATAAATACAAGTTAATGAATATTACTAGTCACACAAAGCAGCCTATGGTAACTGTTTTCTCCTAAATTGTTGAAAAGTGACAAAGTGACTCATATATTTTAATTTAGTAAGTTATTTTATTGGGATTCAATTTTTCTTTTCTTAACATCTTGATTAATTTTAAATATCAAATGGTTGTTAGGAAAAATGCAGCAGAGGTTGGGGATATGGCTCACTAGGTAAGAGAACTTGTTGAGCACCCATATGGACCTGAGTTCAAATCCCCAGAAACCATATAAAAAGGCAAACGTCGAGACATGCACCTGTAATCCAAGAAGTATAGGTGGGCAGAAACAGGAGGATTTGGGGGGCTTGCTGATTGCCAATCTAGCTCCAGTTTCAGTGAGAGCCCCAGTCTCAAGGAAACTAAGAGAGCAATGGAGTAAAGTATCCAGTGTCATCCTCTGGACTCTCTGTGGGCATGACACACAGACATTCTCAACTTACATCCCACACTAATGTTCATACACATATACACACTTGTGAACACATACACACAAAATTAAAAGAAACAAGAAATCCCGCATAGTAGTTTTTTTCATTAAGGTATGTAGTTTGGGGTACTATATGCCATCTTTTCTGTATTATCATTTGCTCTTGGCCCTTTACTATAGGTTTTCAACACATACTCCAATGAAGACTATGACAGGAGAAATGATGAAGTTGACCCTGTGGCCGCATCTGCTGAGTATGAACTTGAGAAGCGAGTAGAGAAGCTGGAGCTTTTCCCGGTGGAGCTGGAGAAAGGTACAGCAGGACTCCTGTGCTTGCATCTTCGTGTCTCTGTGCTGGTAACATAGGGTGGCTTTTCCAGAGTCTATCATGTCCCTAAGAATTGAATAAAGTTGTATCTCTCCTGAAGTTTACCAGATTTCACAAAGAGTTGATGTAGATTTTGAGTAGATAATTTATTAAATAACTCCCTCATCTCAACAGTTCCCAAACAACCCAGTTGCTTTATCTGGCTGGGATGGTGTTTCAGACAGGAGATGAGCTGCCTACTTCTATGTCACTGGAGATTAGGGAGCATCAGTTGAGAAAATGCCTCAATAAAATGGGCTATAAGCAAGCCTATTTAATTAATTAATAAGTGATGTGGAGCCGGACGGTGGTGGCGCACGTCTTTAATCCCAGCACTCAGGAGGCAGAGGCAGGCAGATCTCTGTGAGTTCGAGGCCAGGCTGGATTGACAGCCTCCAAAACAATACAGAGAAACCTTGTCTCGTAAAAGCAAATAAATAAATAAATAAATAAATAAATAAATAAATAAGTGATGTGGGAGTTCCCAGCCATTGTGGATGGTGCCATCCCTGGGCTGCTGGTCCTGGGTTCTATAAGAAAGCAGGCTGAGCAAGCTGTGATGTACAAGCCAGTAAGCAGCTCCCTTCATAGCCTCTGCTTTAGCTCCTGCCTCCAGGTTCCTGCCCTGCTTGAGTTCCTGTCCTGACTTCCTTTGATGATGAACACCAGTATGGAAGTGTAAACCTAATGAAGGCTTTCCTCTCAAAGTAACTTTGGTCGTGGTGTTTTGTCATAGCAATAGTAACCCAAACTAAGACAAATTTGGTGCCAGGATCATGGAATATTGCTGTGACAGACATGACCGTTTACTTTTGGTGCTTGGAGGGTGTTGCATTCAATCTGGACTTCCACAGCAGTAAGCAGTATGTCTTAGGGAGCAAAGAAACAATGGTACCACCTCTTATTTTCTTTATTTTTAAGGAAGTAAGAACAAAAGCAAACATATTACTGGTATTATTATGCGATTTTCACAAGAATGGTCTTTGAAACTATGAAATGTCACTGACATCTATCATCAAAAAAGAATAAAATTCAAGAACTAAAATGTACTCATCAGAAATAGCTACTTAACCCTAACTCCAAGATAGGAGGATTGTTTTCCATGGATACAGGGAGGGTGGGCAACCTGTTCCAGGACAAAAGAAAAAATAGCCTCTGAGATAGGTAACTGATTATGTTGATCAGACAAAGTATATGGTATTAGAAGATAGCTTAGTTCACCACTGCTTTTAAATTTAATCAGTTGCCCTAATAAAAGATCATTAATAATAGTGACTTATCTTACATGTACTAAAGTGGAAATAACTGTTAATGAGTCAGGAATTTCAAGTTGATTTTTCCTTATGCTTAAACACCCTTAGTGATGGTATAAAGTGTGGCACTATGTGCTTTTTTTTTTGTCTCTGTGTTTATACATCAGATAAAATGATAAAACCTAATGCAAAGGAACACAGCGCATTCTCCTGGTCACCAACTAAGACAAGATGGAGCCACTGTCCCCCAGCTCTTCAGATGTAGTCAAGCTCTCTTTAAAAATGCCAGGCATTGGTGATGCACGCCTTTAATCCCAGCACTCAGGAGGCAGAGGCAGGTGTATCTCTCTGAGTTCCAGGCTAGCCTGGTCTACACAGCAAGTTCCAGGACAGCCTCCAAAACAATACAGAGACGCCCTGTCTCGAACCCGCCCCCCAAAAAAATGCCAACCCGCTTTTAAAACCGAGAAGCAAAAGTCTGATGTGGCACACTTCCTGTCATCCCAGCACACAGGTGGCAGAGGCATCTGTAGTTCAAATCCAGCTTAGGCTGTTGAATAAGATTATGCTTGGGACAGCACTAGGCAAATGACAAGACTGGGAGAATCTGTAAACGCAACAATGTACATGACACAGAAAAGAGAAAATAGAAACATTAACAGTGTAACGTTTTTCATGGACTAGGTTCAACCCTTGACAATTTTGACTAAAGGCAAATTAGTAGTATATGGTAAATATATGCAAATGAACAGTGTGAGTGTTGTTGGGAACTGAATTTCTCTGGCACAAACGATGACTACCTAGAAATGACTTATTGTTTTCTAACAATATGAATCATCCAAATTAATGTAACATAGTGGTGAGTTGCCACAGCAGCAGTTGGAATGATTTCTATTATATAAAGCATGGCAGCCTTTCATTAGAATGATGTCTACAGGTAAAACACGGAAGTGCTTCAGAGCAGTTGGCTCCAGGGCACATGAAGAGCACACAAAGCCAGGGTTGCCGAGACCCCTTTGTATGAGATGAAATGGAGGAAAACTCTGACACACGCCATCAAAAATCCTGTAGGAGTTTTTACCCCAAACTAATATACTATTAAAAATGAAGGCTATAGTACCAACTGCAAGTTTCAAAATTGTAAGTGAAATAAAATATCAAACATGGAAATATCTAAAGAGAATACACTAGAGAAAATGGATTTTTAGATATGAGAAAAAAAAGGTAGTCCTTTCTTAGTAAAGTCAACTCCATACAATTTTGAAGAAAAAGTCTGTAGTCATATAGAAAGATATTTGGTAAAATTTAGGTTAAAAAACTGTATAAATTATCATGTGATGGGTGCTGTCTATGAATTTTGCAAAGTGGATATCACAAAAGCAATGGAGAATTCTATCTGTAAGTTCAGGAAGCATGGAAAATGCTTCAACTATAGCCAGAGGACAAACTTGGAAATCTATTTAAATGAAATGATCAGTATAAAGAGCAAAAGATAAAGTTTGCCAAACATACCTTTTGCTAATATATCGATATTCCTATCTGGTGAGTCAGGCTTCTTTGACTGAAATACAACACTTGAGGTATTAGCTTACAGGCAGCTGATTTTAGTCTATGGTTTCAGTCCATGGCTGTTAGCCATTGCTTTGGAGCCTGTGGTGAAGCAGTAGAGTCAAGTGTGTGACAGAGGAAGCTGCTCCCCTTCGGACAGCCAGGAAGCAGAAAATAGGGAGACCAGTAGTTGAGTTCCATGTATTCCCTTTAAGAGCACACCCTAAGTTCTCTATTTAGGCCCTGCCCCCTAAATTACTGCCATCTCTTAGGGCCAGGCTGAGGACCAAGTCTTTATAACACATGGGTCCATAAGGGGACATATAGCTGAATCCTACTAGTATCTGTATCTATCTTTGAGATATAGTTCAATTTTTAAAGTATTAGTATTGGTAAGATAATTTGTGAAGGAAGAGGTCTGCCTCAATATCCATTAAAATTAATAGTTTTTTCATTATTCATACAACTTAAGAGTAAAATGGGAAAATATTTCATTTACAATCAGCAAAATACTGATTATATTTATTACTTACAATATAATATTTATTTATATTTTTAATTTACGGAAAGTCAACTGTTTTATTAGGTATGCTGACTCATTTCTGTAATCTCAGCACATGTAAGACTAAGGAAAGAGAGTTGCCATAATTTCAAGGCCAGCCTGAACTACCTAGTAGGTTCCAGACCAGACTTAAGCCAGCTGGTGGAATAACCATATTCCTGAATAGGAAGGCTCAGTACAGAATCAAATTCAGTGCAGTGCAGATAGAACTGTCAACAACATTCAGTTACAAGAGGGTGTTGTGTAAATAATATTATATTTTATAGAGGAAGATCTAGACCTAACGGAAGTGTAAAAATATGACGGGCTTCATTTGCCAAATATTTCATTCTTTGACAATCAGGACCTGTTATACTGACAGTGATTGGTCAGTGGAACAAAACAGTAAGTATTAATATGAGAGAGAATTTAATGTGGTACTAAGTCTGACTCAGCATCTGCCTGAAATACACAGTCGAGCACCTTCATTATATCATGTGTGAGAAACCCTAAATCATTAAAATCAAGTGCTAAAATGTAATGGCATCATATTTAGAAAAAAATCTAAACAGTATCTATCACCTTGGTTGGTGGGAATAACACAACCAAAATGGGAAAGCAGAAGTTAGAAGAGATAATACCAATATTATATGTGTAGCCTTCACCCGATAAAGATAATTATGTCAGAAAAAATCAATCGGAAAATAAAAACTGAATTATAGCTAACAAAGTTTATATCCATGATTCTCTAAGAATCTTCGTCAGTCATCAGAGTAAAGAGACAAAATTCAGTAGAGAAACTGCCATTTTACAGGAAAGGAAATCCAGTAACCCACAGTCGGGTGGATACAGGCTTGAGTCTCACTGACAGTGAAAGCAGTGTTGTACCAGCAAAGCGCCTCTTTCCTGAGAGGAAGCAAGCCTGGACCTCCAGGTCAGGTGGCAGCATCTTCTGGAACAGGGGGGCCTCACTGTTTTTTCCTGACTGCTTTATCTACTTAATGCTTCTGCCTGTCCCCAGGATGTGTAGAGGAAGAAAGACTGGGGTCGGGGTCACTGTTGGATTCTTTAAAATTTTTATAGTAATTATGTGTATTAAACCTTCAGGGAGAGGGACAGTTGCCTGTGATGAGGTATACACGTGGAGGTCAGAAGACGTCTTGCTGGAGTCCATTCTTTCCTTCCTCTCTGTGGGCTCTGGGATTGAAAGTAGGGTGCAAGCTTGGTAGTGAGCACGTCACCTCTTGGGCATCTTACTGCCCACTAATGGAATCTTACAAGAGTTTGCGGTTTCCAAACTGTGTACTCCTTCCTATGAACAGAGACAAGATGTGGTGCCGGGAGCATCACCTGTGTGAGTTGATTATACACTTCTGTCATGTTTTGTCCTTCAGTTGTTCATTTCTTCTTGTAGGAAGTCTGCATTAGGATTCACGATGTCTCAAGCCAATGTTAACTTTCCCCACAACATGAGCTACCTATTTAATTCTCTGGTTAGAGCACTAAGAAGAGCTCTAGAAAGAATGATAAAGGATATTAAGAAGGCATAAGTCCAGGCAAGGAAAATAGATTTTAAAGCCAGTAAATAATTTCTGTGCTGATCCTTGTAAGGGTTCAGTGTCATGCCAGTGTGGAGATCTGAGGGGAATTCTTGGAATGTAATGAACATGGGAAACTTTAGCTCATAGTTTAACAGGTAGTGATTATAATGAAGAGGACCACTGCACATGCAGTGAAGTGAGCCAGAATTCAGGAGAAATGCTAACCTCCTGGGTTGGGGGTTGGGGAGGAAGGGCAAGAGAGATATTGAGAATCCCATGGCACTCATCTCTGTGGACGTGTCTATAGACCTCTCTTAAGCAAAACCCCAGGGTATGTGTGGTGATCCATCTGTCTATGAACACCACAGGAAGGCCCTCATTCGTAGGAACAACTTCATTCCATAAAAATTCTGTGAATATCATAGTGTGACTCATTCAGCCATCCATTTGAACCGTGCTATACACAAGAGAATTCATTCCGGGGGGAAGAAAACCATACACCTGACCAATATGCAACCACCCCCATCCACCCAGCCCTGCGGACACCCCACAAACCTTCACACTAGCAAACTATGGGAAAAACTCTAACAATGTGGTGAGTGTTGGAAAATCATCAGCAAGAGAATGATCCCGATCAAGTCCAGGTTATTTATATAAGAGGAATGACTTGAATGAAATAAATACGAGATTGCATATATGCAACATCTTAAGTGCAGTGGGCTCCAATAGTCTTCAGTGATCACCCACACATTATTACATGTTCATATTCTCTCCCTGGGGAGATTCTTATGCCTGCAGTCAAGGTGGACGTGTCTTCAGCTGGACTCCACATCAAGCCTCATTCAGGGGAGACACCACAGAATCCAGGAGGGTACAACACTGCTAAAAGCATCTTCAGAACCAAATGGGGGTAAACATACAGGATCATCTAGATGTCCTTAGACAAAGTTGTCATAAAGGCAGTTGCTGGTGACAAATAATGTTCACGGGGGCAAATTCTTCCGAAGCACATTATGAATATAATAATAATTGCACAATGTTATTTTAAATGCATTCTCTTAGATTTGTGTGTTAGTTTTCCTTTAATGACCCATAACTGCTGATTAGCTGGCATTTATTTTTTCTGATAAATCATGATTGCAAAGACTTTGAGGTTAGCAGAAAAATGACCTTGAATGTTTTCATTTTATTGGTGGTGAACTAGATATGCTCATGGAAAGGACAAATAGAAATGTGAATAAACATAATTTGTAAGTGAATTTGAAATATAACTTTCAGTATTGCTTACAGGACCAATAAAATGCAAATAAAGGTGACTGATTTTTAATAGAGATATGATTTAATACACTGTGATATATCATCATGAAATATTATGCAGTCATTAGAAATGATTTAAGTGTATAAAAGTTTATCCACAAGGTATCATTAATTTTAAATGTGTGATGCTGAGAGAAATGAAGTCTTATGTGTATAAAGGAAAGGAAAGCTAAATATACATGAGTGTGGGTCTGCCTATGCATGTTTGTATATATGTATAGGTATGTCCTTGCATATATTTTTACTGATGAGTATAGGTGCTTGTATAGAAGCATAGAGGATTGTTCTCATACATTTAATCTTTATTTTTCTCTTATTTTGTTTCTGTTGAGCTAGAAATGAAACACAGTGCATAAGACACAGTTGGAAAGTGCTTGACCACTGAGCCAACTCAAAGGTTCATGCAGTCTTCTTAACATGAGTAGATATAAAAATGAAAAGATGAAATTCTAAAAAACTCTGGGTTGAGTGTGTGTTTTTCATGTCTAAAACATTGCATAGGGTGATTTGAGACTCTGTTTTGAGATCCATTGATTCTTCTAGAACCAAACTATTATCTTTCCTGGGACCATGCTGGATTACCAAGAGCAGTAGAAAATGTCTGAAACTCGTGAATCATTTGAGGCCTCGTGGTCTGTGGAGGCACACAAATCATGTGTCCTGTGCACAGTGAAGAACAAAGCTAGAAGCAGCAAGTAGCCTCGTCAGCTCCCTGGGCCAGCTAGTGCAGGACAAAGCTCCCTGCTCACTGTCCTCTCTTTCTCCTAGATGAGGATGGCCTTGGCATAAGCATTATTGGAATGGGCGTTGGTGCCGATGCAGGGCTGGAGAAGCTGGGGATATTCGTCAAGACCGTGACAGATGGGGGTGCTGCTCAGCGGGATGGCAGGTGAGCTGGGTACTGGTCTGTGGCTTGAATCCCAGGGAACTGCTCCACAAATTTCTGTCAGTGTGATCTTTCTTCTCTTGATTAAAAAGGAAAAAATTAGTGTTTCTCAGATGTGCAAGAATGTTGAAACACCTGGATTAGATTCCTATTGGTAGCAGAATATCTATGCAATAAATGTACATCTGTCTGTCTGCCTTTGTCTCTATCCATCCATCTACTTCAGTGTGAAGTGGGCCATGTGGATGGTTGAAGAGTATGTCCTGGGTAAGTTGACGTATAATTTTATTTCAGAAATGTTCAGTTGGATGATAGTTATTTTGGTGCTTTTGAAAATGACTGTTATGGGATTTCCCAACTGGTTCTGCAGCCACCTGGCCTCAAATGAACACATGGACACTTATATTAATTATAATACAGTGGGTCAGTGGCTTGGGCTTCTTATTGACTAGCTCTGTCTTAATTATTATCCCATTTATTTAATCTAAATATTTCCACATGGTCTTATCTTACCAGAGAAGGGTCTGAACATCTTACCCCTTTGTGGTCTCACATGACGACTCCTCTCTACCTACACTTCCCAGAATTCTCCTCTTCTCCTATCCCTGCATATCTTCCTGCCTGGCCAGTCAGTGTTGTATTCATCAACCAATAAGAGAAACATATACAGAATAACATCTCTAATCAAATGAGAGAGGTGCAGGGGAATTCTGGAGACTGATGTTCCTCCATGTCTCCTACAGAGAAACAGGTGCTAGATCGCTGTTGGGACCTGTAGAAAGAGACCTCTCCATGAGCCTGGTCCCTTCTCAGAATGTGGAAGCAAATCTGATCACTTTTTATAAGACTACATAGAAAGCCAGCAGAGGCAGTCTGTCCTCTGAAACAGTATCTGCAGGAATACTCTTTTAACTATATTTATTTAAAAAAAAAGAAAACTTCTCAAATATAGTAATTTCGTCATTGGTAGGGTAGGAATTTATTATACAAAAGTTATTCACTGTTAAGTTATTCATAGTAGATAAGCAATTGAATAAGCAAAAATTAAAATGAAAAAAATAGATTATCCTGTCCCAAAATTAAGTACATCTAATCAGATTTTAGGCTCCATATGAGAAAAGCTATAAAATTCTGATAAATATCAAATATGGGTCAATAAGTGGAGTTATATTCATGCTCAGAGACAGAAAAACTACTATCAGGATGCAAATGCAAATTCTCCTTAATTTTATCTATGTATCCAATGAAATCTCAGTGAATAATCTCACTAAGTTAATTTATGTATGCTTTAGTTTCCTTCCTATTGCTTTGACAAATTATCCTGACCAAAGCAACTTAAGGGAGGAAGAGGTTCACTCTGACTCACAGTTCCAGAGGAACAAGCCCTCATCCTGGATGAAGATCTGTCACCTGCTGGGGGAGGCATGGAGGCAGGCACAGGAAGCAGACTGACCACTTTTCATCCTCAGTCGGGGAGCAGAAAGAGCAAACAGGAAACGGGGCTGCCTCCAGTGACCTACTTCCTCCCGCAAGGCGTTCCCCACAGTGCCACCATTTGGTGAACCAGAGGAGTGCAAGTACATGAGCCTGTGAGGGACATTTCACATTCAGACCACAGCCGTGAATACTGCTGAGTGGACTGTGATGTTTTATATGGAAAACCACAGATCCAAAATAATACACGCAATAATTAAGGACAAGGAAAAAGTTTGGAAGGAACATTATGTGGCATCAACGTTTTCTTTTAAAGCTTCAGGGATCAAGAAAGCATGATATTTATAAATTAGATCAGCAGGAGACAATATAGAAGCCAGGAATAGAACTAAGGTTAGCATTGTTAATTGTTTACAGTACAAAATCCAACTAGATCACACCTTACTAATTTCAGAGAATTTGTCATTTTTATTTATTAATACCATTCTTAGAAAGAAATTTCATTGTCACATGACGAGAGACAAGTGTTCAGTCACACAACTTAAGAAAGTCAGCTTCAGTTTGCAACTTTAGCCACACTTGAAGTCCTCAGAGCAATGCAAAACATATGCAGAGTCATCTTCCATGAAGTCTGATTTCCCTGTGGGAGTCATGAACTGCTTGTGAAATGATTTGAACTCGTAAATTCAAAAGAGAATGAAAAGGGTAGTGAGTCAGATTATTTTGCTCTCCCATGAGGGCCGTGGAGTTCAGTAACCCCTGCAGAGCCTTTTCCCTCCCACTGCTGCTTTTAACAGGTATTCCCCAGCCGTGGCTACTGCAGCCACCACCATTGTCATCATCATGATCTTAGGTCTAGGACCAGAATTGTTAAAAACCAGGGGCAGGGATGGGGTGAGGCCAGGCTCACTATAAAGAACAGAAGGAGAAAAATAAGGAAACCTTACCACTACTAGCAGACTTGAATAGCAGCAAATGATATTTCTGCTGTTTCCGAGGCTCACTCTGACGTGTGGGATGAGGGTGGGAGCTGGACACTGAGGTGTCTTTCTGTAGTGCCGCAGTTTGGCAGGTTTGGTAAGCCTACTTGCTCCCCTCAGTGGATCCTTCAGAACTTGATGTTCAAATACAGGTGAACACCAAAGAACTTAAAAGATGACTTTTATGAGTATAAAACAGATAGGTTAAATATTTGATTCAGCTCCATGATCATTTCAGAAAGTAGTAAGGAAATAAATGTGATCAAAAGAGCATTTTGGGAACCGGATGTAGCTCAATGCCTGAGAGCTTGCCTGTGTGCCTTGGGTTCCATCCTGGGCACACCTGCTTCCTTTGCCTTCTCTAAGGAGCAAGGTCTGTAGTAATGTCAGAATAATAAAACTTGGTTAGCTCTGAAACTCCATGATTGACAGTACATAAAAGATCTGACACCAAGGATTCTTCGACTCCCTAATGTTTGTTTGATTTCTACTGTGACTGAAACCCTTCAAGTCAAGTATATACCCTGGAAGGACTCATGTGTATAAAAAAAGCATATAGAGAGTTAATTATTTACAGCTGTGTTCATAATAGCTAAACTGAAAAATGATGCATGTCTATCTACAAAAAGTAGATGCGCAACTATACTGTGGTATAGTTGCCAAAATGAATTAGCTAGAATTACAAATGTGGTCGTCAGAGGAAAAAATCTCAGATTTAATATTGAGTGAATAAAGTATGTAATAAGATGAGAAGCACACTTTGTAATTTTTGAAACATACATTGTATTATGTGTATTCATTGGCCTCTCTCACTAAACAAAAACAGTATGTGGCCATCTCTACTGTAGAAATAAAGGCAATAAAATTATAGGAAAACAACTAAGGGGCTTCCCCATTTCTCTAATGAATTATTTTTTAAAAAGCATGATTCAAATATCATGCAGTGCTCATATTTGATAAAGCTGGAAATTGGGTTCTTGAGTGTGTGTTTTCAATTTCATACCACAGTATTCCATGTTGGCATATATAAAATGTATTTGTACATTTAGAACTACTTACACATTTACCAATATTAATATACTGTGCATCTCAGAAACATACATAACTAAACATACATCTGAGTGTATTTAAGAGTACACATGCACACATGTGAGTAATGCATATTTGAAGCACTAATACAGTTCCTGATGTTTACCCTGAGTGAGGATAGCGGTGACAGGGACTAGGTGTTGTGCTCAAAGGGTATTTCAGCTGTATCTATTAGACTTAATTAGGCACAATAAGCACCAGAGATCTGTTATGCTTTTTTTTTTTTTTTTGGTTTTTCGAGACAGGGTTTCTCTGTATTGTTTTGGAGGCTGTCCTGGAACTCGCTCTGTAGACCAGGCTGGCCTCGAACTCACAGAGATCCGCCTGCCTCTGCCTCCCAAGTGCTGGGATTAAAGGTGTGCGCCACCAGCGCCCGGCTGAGATCTGCCATGCTTTATAGTTACTGATTTTTCAAAGAATATATGTGACAAACTGATTCCATTCACTATTACTTTTCTAGCTTTCAGTGGAGTTTTTATTTTTTGTAATATCTACATGTGTACATACATTTGTATGTTTATGTGGGTATGTGTGCATGCATGCTTATGTAGAGGCTAAGAAAGCGATTTCAAGTTTTGTTCTTAAGGTGCTGTCTACCTTTTCTTGAGATAGAGTGTGTCTCTTTGGCCTTAGATTAGCTAAATGTGCTTGACTAGCTAGACAGCAAGCCCCAGGGATTCACTTATGAACATTTTCACATGGTTTCTGGGTGTCAAGTTCAGATCTCTCTACTTTGAAGGCAAGACCTATGCTAACTGAGCTGTCTTTTCAATCTTGACAAGATATTAAGGATTTGACTACAGTCTGGAGCTTATTATGCAGCAAAATTTTGGTCAACTTACTGTCTTGGTTTAGCAGATGAGTTCACTGTGGGTGCTGTTTTCTCTTTTTCTCCAGGATCCAAGTCAATGACCAGATTGTAGAAGTGGATGGAATCAGCCTGGTGGGGGTCACACAGAATTTTGCGGCAACTGTTCTCCGAAATACCAAGGGCAACGTTAGGTAAGTCTGAGGCTTTCTAATAAGCAGCTTGGTAACTTTGTACTTTTATGGATGGCAATTTCTCCATAAATATTTATAATTACAATGAAAATTTTGTTTGAATACTAAAACAGTGGAGACAGGGCTGTTACTAAGCTGTACGGTGTACCTTATGGTTAACACAGTAGAATTGCCATGGCAATGGAATTCCTAGTCACCACCTCAGTAAATTGTAATTTGCCTCTCAATTCCTTTTAACAAAACCAGTTTTGGAACAATTGAAACTGAAATGGATGTTCACACCCCAGCGGTATGCATTGTTAGACAAGTAGGTCGAATGATATTAGGCAGTGCATTTTAAGAATCTGTTCATTGTTTTTAAAGAGTCAGCCAGGTTCTATCTTTGGTGAATTGTATCTTTCCTAACTTAATAGGACAGAGGGTACAATCTTCAGACCTTGGAATTTATATCTAGTAACAAGTACGACTTTTAAATAAGAAAGCAGTCTTACCCAACTCTGGTTAAACTTTAAAATCAGTTTTGTTTGATTAACATTTCCTTTTTTTGAAAACACTGGAAACACATTGTACTTTGACAAAATCTCATGAATGGACACTTAGGAGACACTAGTGTGTGTAACTGTGAAAGCAGGTCAGTACTCGCGTCGTTGAAATGAAACTGCTGGTCATCTGAAAAGACAGCTGAGGTGACATCGCTGAAGAGAGGACAGCAGCACATTTGATGCTGTAAAAGCACGAGGGCCAGCTTTCAGCCTTGTCAGTGGGAAGGCAACACATGATGCTGAAGGGATGACTTGAGGAATACAATGGAAGCAAACATGGATGTGGGGGCTGGAGTGTCTACTCACAGTCCTCAGAAAGGCAGGTGAAATGATGTCAAGCGTGTCTGGAACCCCTGTCGTGATGCCTGCTAGCCCTGTGGGCTCCTTAGTAAATACAATGACTGTTCTTCAGATTGACATGTGGCATCCACACTTCACTTCCCCGTGTGGTACAAGACTTGCTTGGACATCAATACAAACTCAAAGACTAAATAGGATGCCCATTCAACTGGTAAGAATGCATCTCACTTGGAAGAGTGTGAAAGGACAGTAGAACACACTTATTTTGTTTCCTTCCTCCCTATGGGTCAGGTCATCTGTGTTACTATTTCAGTACATGGGAAGATGGCAAGTAACTTCTTAAGTAGTTTCTCTCATTGCATTCTCTTCTGATTTCATTCTGTGCTAATTCTCTCTCTAGTGGAAGAACATATTTACAGCTATCAGAATATGAAGTGCTGCTATGGAAAAGGGAATTGCTCTTTTGTTTACCTCGTGTAGTTGATCTAGTACAGAGGAGTAGAAGTAATTACAGATCCATCACAGCCACCTCCCCTTTGAACACTTTCAGTGGCCCGGCGCACTGTGTGGAAGCTCTTGGGCCTGTTGTTGGCAGTCTCATCTGCCTGTGTTTCCTTGCTCTCCTGTGGTTCCACAGCCGTCATCATCCTTCAGATGTGACTTGGGTGTGATTGTTTCTGAACACTCTTGTCTTCACTGTTTCCTGTTTAAAATGCTGTTGTCTATCCAGAACAGCTGTATCTTACACATGCCCCAGCTCCCTTGTCCTCCAGAAGTCCACCCTAACCTCAAGTGACCTATCTGATGGCAGCCATCTTCACACTGTTTTTTTTCCTTGAGGTGCTAAAGCATTTTGACTTCACCATTGACTTTCCAAAGAGATCTTGGCACACACATGGCACTGTTAGCCTCCTTTATTCCTCTCACATTATTTAACCAGGATCTGAATTTGCTGAAGTTATATAACCCACATTTCTCAATTAGTTGACTGTAAGAGAAAGTGCTTTCATGATCTTTACTTTGTAAGAATAATGTTCAAATCTTCCAGATATATTCACTAGTGGTTCTATGTGAAATATTAATTAAAAACTCGACCTGAATCTATCATGAAATAAGATACATATATGTGTATGTTTATATACCTATGTACACATATACTTAATATATTTCTGTATTTCTTTTCTCTCATATTTGGTTTGTTCAGAACAAAGTTCTCATTAGATAGCCCATGACTAGCCTGGAACTCTCTATGTATACCAGGCTAGCTTTGAACCTGTGACCATCGTTTTATTTCTGTCTCGCATTACTGGTGCTGTAGGCTTGTCCTTTGCTGCTTCTGTATTTCTTAATACCTAGAGACTTACACGTCACATTTAATGATTATCAAAATGTGTTTTCAACTGGGGTGTCAGGAAAATCACTGTTCTGTTAGACTTTTTACACCACAAATCATGGATCCTAAAGGAATATTTGGAATTCAAAACTTTCAAGATCCAGAAGTGTAGGGTTTGAGATAGAGATAGGGAAAAGAGAAAAAGAAGATTATGGTTATTTGTATGCATTTGAGAGATTAAATTTTTATTTGTTTTCTGGAAATATACAGGAAAGTTTTTGTCATATTTAGATATAAGTCAGAGTCACACTGAATTCCTGTGACTTCACCCATAATTTCAGAGAGCAGTTTTTCTTCTCTTCCTGTGCTCTTTCTTACTAAGATGTGAGTGGTAATTCCTGAATTGATGAATTCACGGTATGGATGAGAGCACCATTGATACCCCATTTGTTTGTCTTTGGTTGTGTTGTTATTTTGTGGGAGAGTCTGGTTTTTGTTGAGACGTAGGCTCATCCTATAGTCCAGACTATCCTAGAACTCACAATGTAGCACAGGGATACCTCAGACTCATCACAATCTCACTTCAGCCTCCTATCTTGGGGTTACAGACATACGCTACCTTTAATAATTGGTTGGTTTGTTGTAGTGCTGAAACTCGAAACCAGAGCAAGAACATAGTTTGGTTGACCTTGAACTGCAGTGTTCATGAGTTCATTATCAGAGCTGCCACAGTCTATAGTGGCCTCTGTTTCTATGTACCAGCTCTAGATCACAAATCAGAATGTAGTCTCTCCTTATCTTCAGAGATGTGAACAGGAGATTGAACCACTTGTCTAAATTTGTGACATTACTTGCAAAACAAAAGACAAGGTTAAATTTTACATCCATGATAAATGGAAGATAGTTTGTATAACCTTGAATCAATTTGTTAATGTTGTGATTCCTACTTTCTTTCCATTGTTACACAGATGATTTTATCTTTTTAAACTACTTCCTAATATTTTGTTCTGATAGATTTATAATTCTGGTTTGATTAATTTTCCACTAACTACACATGACCCATCAAACATCTTTTAAGACTCTAAGAAAACTATTTAGAAATACTAACAGATGAATATGTTGATAACAAGCCTATTGTTTCTGGTGCATGGGTTATAAATCATGATTTTTTTTGTTGGCTTAAGCAGAATATGATGAGAAGAACCAGCTAATAAGTGGATAGCCATGTCGCATGAGGAAGTGACAACCTGTTAGCCATCATTCATATCATGGGGCTTTGTGAAACTTACACTTCTTTAGGTTTGCTTCATCCGACAGTGAAAACATGTGGTAATAAAGACAGTAAATCCTATTCACCTAAGGTTGTGAGATAATGCTCTTGTATACTGTAAAGATTTGTCACTCGTATTGGTTTAATAAAACGCTATTTGGTCAGTAGCCATCCAGGAAGTATAGGTAAGGCTACCAGACTAAGAGAATTCTGGCAAGAGGAAAGGAAGAGACACAGTCACCAGCCAGACACAGAGGAAACAAAATGAGAATGCCTTACTAAGAAAATGTACCAAGCCACGTGGCTCAACATAGATAAGAATGTTGGGTTAATTTAACTTGTAAGAGCTAGTTAGTAATAAGCCTAAGTAATAGGCCAAAAGTTTATAGTTAACAAAAGCCTCAGTGTCTTTATTTGGGACTGAATGGCTGCAGGACGGGGCAGGACAGAAACTTCTGTCTACACTAGGTCAAAAGAAGACAGTGACAAATGCACTGTACAGTATGTATTGTGACATGTGGCTAAGCTGGAGCTGGTCTGGCACTGCTCAGGTGCTCAGCTACAGAATGCCCTGGTACATGGCCCTGATCCTGTTGAAAACTGTGACGTGCACCACCAGGGGACAAAGGATGACTTAAAAATGCGTGCCAATGCATTACTCCAAAGTAAGACTAAACAGCCTATCAGAACCGTATATAACAGTAATCGGGTTTGACTTTCCCTTGTCCCACAAAATTGACAAAGCATTAATTAGCAGATGCATCAGTCATCTACAGACAGGTCACCCTTCCTAGTGTAGATACAAATCTTGCAGGACTAGAGGTGCAGGTAGAGGTCCAGGAGGATGAATGCAAGCTTTGTCTGCGTTAGAGTGTCCATTTTCTCATTTCTTAGATACTGGCATTGTCAGTCTCTGGCCCTGAGACTCCTGCCAGGACTCACTCCAGTGGCTCCACTGTGGCACATGGAATCTAAAGGGCCAGCTATATCTTACGAGTATGTATGTGTGTGTATGTATGTATGTATGTATGTATGTATGTATGTATGCATGTATGTATCAGTTCACAAATCCCATCTTTGCTGACTGCTTATTTTTCTCTGTTTACTGTGTTGATATCTAAGTTAGCCTTATAATATTGCCATGTTATCAGCATTCATCCCGTGACCCTCTTGTCCTTGTGAAGCAGATTTTGTTCTGCTCCCTGTGTTATCATTCTGAGCTGCACCCTTGGTCCACTTTTGTTGATTAGGTATGTAAATGAATAGAAACAATGGAAGTGAGCAGTGGAAATTGGCATAAGTGAAGAACCTGATCTTCCCTTAAGTCTGACCTCAGGACACTGGGGAAGACCTTCTGTTTCTTTTCTTGATTTCTTTTATTGAATACTGTTTTCTTTTTCTCACTATCCAATGTAACATGTTCAAGGCCTTGGAGCTATTTCTACAATCACAGAAAAAAAATCAACGAAATGAGCAGATGAGAAAAAAAATAAAGATAACTTAAATGAGTCAAGAAATACACCATGTTTGTGCATCAGAATAGGTAATAGTGTTC